AAGTCTTTCCTAGTAGTACCTGTTACCATCTAACTTTTTTCAGTTGTAGACTCACTTATTGTGTAGTGCTCTTTTGTCATCTAGTAATTCTGACAAATCGTAATGACCAATTTGATCTCAATAATAATATCTCATCATCCATAAAAAAATCCCAATCCATTGAATCTTCAACTCGAGTGGCCTCTTCACAGCACTTTGGCTCATCATTATCAGTTAGCAAAAGATAGTACAATAAAGGAGAATACCTCTATATTGGTCGTGTCAACTGTTGGACCTCCCGACTATAGTAACATGTGCATGAGAAACTTCATGTTCTTCATTAGATTGAGCACAAATTCTTTCTTCATCTTCCAGATCACTGTTGCATTCTATCTCAACATATATGGATGATTCCTTAGAAGTTGTTGACGAAAAATCTTGAGTTATGTTTTTGTTCATGTACATCTTCATTTCATTGAATATCACATCTCTGACCTTGATGCACTTTTGATTCTGATTGTCACAAAAATTTGTATTCGAATTTATTTGAGTCATATCCAATAAAAGTACACTTGATAGAATTTAACTCAAGTGTACTTCTATATCATGCATTAACATGAACATATAGTGAACAACGAAATTTCTTCAAGTGAGATGGATTTACCTCCATGTCACTCTAGGATTCTTTAGAGAAGCTTTCATTCAAAGACACTGATGGGCCACAATCTATCAAATAAACTGCTGTGTTCAATGTTTCTACCCAAAACTATTTTGACAAGCTTGCATACAATCTCATAATCCTAGTACACTCTGTGATGGCTATATTCATGTGCTCATCCACACCATTTAGTTTTCGTGTCCTTGAAACATTTAATTAATGTCTGATCTCTTCTGAAGCACAATAACCCTGGAACCTCTAGTCACGATACACGACATAATTATCTTATCTAAGTCATTTTAACCTCAAACCCGTCTCATTTCTATCATGTCCTTTCACTTCTCGAACACTCCAAATACATCATATATAATTTAATAAGTAAACTCATATCTTTTTTGTGTGATTACATACAATAGTGATAAAATAATGGCAACATCAAATGAACTGAACTGAAGCGGTACACAAACTTTAGTTTCTTGAAATTCACTATTGACTCATTTTTGGAGAAACAAAATTTCTTTTGCTTTACATATACACAATATTCACAAAAAAACAAGATTTATAAATTTTATACTCTAAAGCTTGTTCTTAGAAGGTAGGGACTTCATGTCTTTTTTTCACTTATATGGCCAAGCCTGTGGTGCAAAGAGCAACATCAACCTTTATTCTAGCAACATCAATAGAATATGCTATCTTATTAATTAGGTAAAAAGTGCTTTCAATGATGGCTTGAACCATCATCATTGCCATCTAATCACCTTCCACGAATCACCTGTGGAAGTAGTCATGATTATATATAGCTAGCTCACGGAGATCAAATTTCTCTTCAAATATAGAATATGTTTAAATTCACCAAGCTTTTAGACCGTTTTATTTAACAACTTGATGTCAACATCATCATTTTATGTAATTCTGTAGGCATTTTTATCTCCCAAATACAACATCCTTTGATTACAATGAGTGTAGTTTTTAAGCACCTTTTTGTTGGGGCATGCATGAAAAGCGGTACAAAAATTTACCATCCAAGATTAAGTACTATCTAGGGATAAAATTAGGGACTACCATGGATTTTATCAATGAAGACATTTGTGGAGAGATTTTTGTCTTGACCTCAACCACCACCCTTTTTTGGAGTTTTATTGTCCTTATTTAAATGACCTTTCTTCCCATACTTCCAACATGCACCTCTGCCATGTTTTCTACATGACCTGGGATATCCTCTCCTAAACTTAAATCTGTCTCTACCTATATTCCTATCTAGAATTCATCCTCTATTTTCAACATTCAACATAGAATTTGAAGTTTCACCGCTCATCTTCTTGTGTACTTCTGCATTCAACACTAATCCTATGATTTCATCAAATTTTAACTTCATATTACCTGAAAATTTATTCATCTCCATGGTCAGTTCATCTTAGCTGTATGGTAATGAAGATAGAATAAACATTGCTCCGACCTTATCATCAAACTTGATGCCCACAGAACACAACTTGTTTTTCACAGTGTTAAAATTATTCAAATGTTCAACAACCAAATACATTCACCATCTTCACGTTGAACAATCTCTTCATAAGAAAAATCTTATTTGACGTCGAAGGATTCTCATTAGTATCACCATAAGATCCATCAAAATTTTCTCGTTCACTATGTCAATGCAACAACTGATGAAACTTTGGTATGTTCCTTCAAATAGTTCCCATATTTCTAGATTCATCTATTTAGGCTTTTTGGTGATTCCTTTCAGTGATAAATACAATTTCTTTTGAAACAACAAATCTTCAACTTACATTTTCCAGAATGCAATATTTGAACCGTTGAACTTCTCTACCTTGTACTTTACTTCGTCAGTCATTGCTCTCACTGGAATAAAATTTTTAGAAAACCCTACTCTGATACCACTTGTTGGAACAAAAAAAGTAGATTCAATCGATTCACAACCAAATGACATAGCAAAAAAATACACTGATTCGAGTGATCCATGCCAAATATTTAACAGAAGTGCACAACATAAGAAATTCTAGAAACTCTACAAAATATAATGTGAAAAAACCTAAGAACGGGGAAAACAGCAAAGCCACATCAAATAAAAAATTACACTTTGAAATGAGGAGAAATATATATATTGCACCACACTCCAAGTACCTATCTACAAGTGTAGAACTCACAAATGCCTTTCCTCTCTCGGTCACACAAGTGAAAACCATAAAAATCCATAATAGAACTCGTTGTACTGCTCGCTCTATCTTACACCTGTTACATGTGCCGTTGAAAGATACTTTCTTGTATAAAAGTTGAGGACTTACGTCCCGATCTTAAGAGAAACCACTCCTGGCCTTGGAGCACCGCTCCCGAGTTCTTCCTTCCTACATGCTATATCTGGAGTTAAGTTATTTGGGTGCTGGATCGTCCGTCACAAGCATCGAGTTTCCGATGCTTTTGTTTCTAAGCCTGTAAACTAACATACCATGATGCAGCTACGCCCCATCTCGAGCGCAGGACTTCCTAGTGCGCAGTTCACTGGACGCCGGAGCGCCCATATTAGCATCAGGGCTCCTATTCCTTTGGATATGGGCTCTGGGGCACTCCTACGAGGCTATGGTTTTGCTACAGAGTTTCTAGACCAATTGGGTTCCACACGCTAACAATACTTATACCACTTTGGTATCAAAAAAATATGCATTTCACTACTAAAAAAGATATTGATTATGATATTTTATGATGTTATAGATTTAAGTAGTATGCATGAAAATATAAATATTTGTGTGTTAGATATGTAAACATATAAGAATTGTGCCGTATGTACATAAATGGCCCATAATAATATGTACTTGGAACTTTGATAAGTGATTATAGAAGCTATGCAAAAATCTACTTGAACACATTAAAATTGGTTCCAAAATTGTCCCATTTAAATAACATTTAAAATATATACGTACTTCTAAAGGTTTCAAAATCTAACACCTAAACTTTTATATTTATATTTATGACAACTTGGTGTCATAATTTTACACATGAAAGTGTGTATTTAACTTTTAAAAATTATAGTAATGATATTTTTAATATAATAGTAAGGATTTTGGTGTTATATATAAAAATATGAAAGTTTAGATGTTAGATATGTAAATAAATAAAGAATGCATGGTATCTATGTAAATGACTCAGATAAAAAAATATATTTAAAGTTGCATCACATTAATTTATTTCTTATGTTGATACTTGATCCTTATGTTCGAACGACCAACTATTGGACGTCATTTCGCCCTTCGATGAGATGTATGAAGACGTAGCGACGTCCGAACGATCAACCACTGGTCGTCACGTAGCCCATCGATGAAGTTTATGACGACGTGACACCCGGTAGTTGGCCGTCCGGACATGCCGTGTTTGGACGAAATATTTTCTCCCCAAACCAATGATTACAATCTTTCATTTATGTCTAATTGATGATAAATAAGACATTTCGCTTAGCCTCGCTCACACTTATACACACTCTCCTTTCTCTATTTATTTCATCCTAATATAAATATTTTATATGAAATACAAATTTACATAAATAGAGCATCTTATGTAAAATTAATTGTTTATTCGAATGCAGCAATCTATTTTGGGCAATTATTTTGTGGGACACTCACACCCTATCATTTAAAAAATGACAATTCTTCTATAAATATTCTTCACGTTATCAAGTAAATGTTATATATATATATATCCATAAGCTATGATACGAGCCCCGACCACCGGTTATGTGCCTAATAATTCGAGAATCACACTCTACACTCGAGGGAAATCGAACCCTAGATCAGAGATGACTTACAACTGACAAGCAGATGCATGACCAACTGATCTGAGTACGCGACACACACACACACACATACACACACACATATAGTTAAGGAATAACCGAAAACTATTAGACGAGTCACAATCATTCCTAGGTGTGCTAAATATTTGAGTACCACACCCTACACACGAGAGGACTCGAACCCGTAACCTGAGGGGATTTACGACTTTCAAAAAGTTTACTCTACCAACATGCCATGGTACGCGCGCAAACACACACAGATATATATATATATATAACATTTATTATTTTAGTTGATAAATTAAATAGAGTGAGCATAAATCCAAATTTTTGAGAGACTTTACATTCTTTTCGACAAATAAATTACATGTTCCAATATGTAAATAATAAAAAAATCATTTTAAAATTATTTATTTATTTAAATAAAATATCTTGTAACTTTCTTAAGAACGTGGGAAGAAAGACCGAAGTAGTGCTAACCAATTTATTTTCAGATAAAATATCAATAGTAGCAATAAATAGGTGTCGGTCGTTAGCGCATGAATGGTTTATAAAGCTCGCAGTCGAGCGAGCATCTTTGGTCCCTTCCCAACGTCCTGCTTTAATGGCCGCACCTAACGCGAGTCTTGCTACAGAGCCTGCTTTTCACTCTGTATCACTCACACTCTCTCTCTACATGGAATCGCTTAGTTCCCACACTGTGCACTCTGAGCGTGCCGTGCGCTCCAGCTGAGTCGAGTTTGACTTGGCAACGGAAAGGAAAAGTATAGATGGAAAAGCAAACTTAAAGTGGGAGGAGTTGTTTGCTTCAATCATTCAATCGCGTTGTGGGAAAACGAAATCAGCTAGGGGAATTCGAGTATCATTGCTGCATTCGATCCGGTGAGGTTTTTTTTTTAATCTCGTTCTTATCTTTTCTGCTTGTTACCTTTCTGGATTGGAGTTTACAGGTGGAGGGATAGTGATTCGCCATTGCCGATTTTTTTCCTTCTTTGTTTGCCATCCACTTTACTGTTTCGATCGGCTTTGATTATGGTTTTAATCGGATCATTAGAGTTTATGTCCTTTGGAGGGTAGAATTTGCCTAATTTCTTTTTTCAACATTCTTGATCTGATGATTCAAAATCGCGGTAAATTGTTAGAAGTGGTTGATCTTGTGTTGATTTGTTCTTTGTTTATGTTTTTTTCGGCTGAGAAGGTTATGGTACACTTGAAGTATTGGTTTGGCTAGGGTTTTTAAATGCTGAAACCATTATTGGCAACATGCCAGCTGATATGCTTTTGTTCCCACGGATGAATTAGATGTTTATTGGGAAATTCAGTTTTTACCATTCATGCGGCTACTATGGTTCTGCTTATTTTTAAAGTTTTCACGCGTTTGCAATAATGTTGTTGAAACGGTGCTGGCGAGCAGGTTTCTGAAAATGACATGTTTCTTTGTTTTTTAATATGCTTGATTAAATATTGGGGTGATTTAGAATTAGCTTATTCGCGTCTTATGTCTTTTGTTTTATATGAGTATAGTGTTAGATCGGACTGTTAAATAACACTCTACACTTATAGTCTATAAAAAACTTCCTCAACTAATTTCTTGAAGACAAATCTTGCTCATTCAGCCTGTCTTCTACAATGTTTTATTCATTTACTTGTGCTTTTCAATTTCAAGCTTTTGGTGGACTTGCTTTCATACCTTATTTTCTGTTCTGGATTAAGAAAATTCTTCTATGAAGGATTTAATTGTTCCTTAAATACATTTATCTTGAATTAAAGTCAGTGTGAGAGTAAGAAGTTGCCATTATTATTTTAATCTTCAGACTGAAAAACATCTCTTAGCAAAAAATGAAAAGAATTTTTTTTTTCTTTTGGTTTTTTTTTCCGGTTGTAGTTTATTGAGCATTTTTTTTTCAGAGAGGATATCTTGGAGCATATTTTTTCACAGTGACCACAAGCATCCATCAAGGGAAAAGTTGTAATGTGGTAGCCATAAGTCTCAAAGATGAAGCTTCAATAGATGTAACACAGTGTGTCATAAAATTAAATATTAAAGAGAAAGCAACCACAAAGAGGCTCATAGATTTATTTCAACAAACTCTAACATGCATAGAAGCCACAATCATGGCATCCAAAATAGGGGCACTTCCTACATTTCTTAGTTCCCAAATACATACATGCACAAAGAAGAAGAAAAACAACTCTCAAGAGAATGCCATGCATGCGCCTTTGAAGCCGCCAAATTTTTTGTAGCTTTGACGTATGGAGATATATCAATTTGCTTGTCTTCAAATGCTAATAATCTCATTTTATTACTGCTAAACCCCTCTTTAATAAATTTTTGAGGGGGTGAAGAGGCATGTTTATTGATGCTATCCATTTTGAGAGCATACATTCCAAGATCTTATAGTAGCAATCACAAGATGGGATTTTCATCAATTGCAATTTTTGAAACCTCTGATCATGTATGAATCCTATGTTCATGCCATCCTTGGGAATGCACATGTCTGATCGTGACTAGATTGGTCTATTCTCCATCACTCTAAATAAGGAATAAATTGATCATGTACATCAGATCCATGCCTGATGCCATGCGGCTTGAACCAAATTGAGACAAATACAATATTTCTCCCCATGTACTCACAATATTATGGTAAATTTGGGTCTCCTCTGTCTTATCCTTTCAAAGCTGAGCATTCTAAGAATTTAAAGGCATGAACTCCTCACATAGCTGAATAATCTCAGCAGACTTAAATATTGCTTAAAAAGATCCACACCATCAGGCAATATGTCAAATATTATAAATTCCTAGGAGAATCCATGGGATTTTATTCAAAAAGGACTTAAACTTTTAAACTTAGACGGATGCAGATTATGTAGATTCCATGCTTGTCAGGTGGTTAATTTTAGAGTATCACACCTGTTTAGGGGGCAACATCATAATTTGGAGAAGTAAAAGCATGTAATGGAATGATTCAGTGCAAAAGCAGAATATTGATCTACGGTATTGAGAATATATGGATTGCTATGGCTAAAATTTATTTTGGAAGACTTAAAGGTTGGATGGAAAAGTGCTACAAGACTATTGTGATAAAAAGTTATTTATCAATATTCCACATTACCCCTGTAACATGATCACACTAAGTTTATTGAAGTTGATAGAAAGTTTTTAAGAGAAGCTGGACCATTGTATAATGTACTTTATTTCTTTTTACAGGTGAAATACTTACATATTCTTACTGCAAGATAGGCGGCTATAGTCAACTTGTCTCTTTTTTCTTTTATTTTCATTGCCCCTCAACGATTCATGAATTATTGTTTCCACCCAACCAATTCATGGGTTGTCCTATTATAATTAATTCTATATTTATTTTTTCAGGTGTCTATTTTCTATCAAAAGCTCATTTAGGCTTGATGCGAGCTAGAAGATTCGCGGTGTAGAGTAATATATTATCGTCTTAGCGTTGCACAAAGATTCAACATACACTCAGATAGAATAAAATAAGTAGTAGAGACACCATAAGTTTTTACGTAAAAACCCCATGAAGGGAAAAAAACCATGGGTCTGACCCGGTCATAAAAGTCCACTACAAGTTGATTATTATAGAGACCCCTTCTCCCACAAGCAGGAAAGTGTTACAAAGTCTTTTGAATTACAATGTCGACGTGCAAATTAACTTGTTGCAAGGAGTCGACAACGACCAATAGCGATCGATGACGGTTGAAAGGTGGTAGTTAACGATGGTTGGCAGTGGTCAGCTGTGGTCAACTGTAGTCGGTGGTGGTTGACGGTGGTAGGAGTGATGCTTGACCTCAGCTCTTTCTCAATGCTTCAAGCTCTTCCTTAATCATCAAGCTCTCCTCCCTCTTTTGATAAGAGGGGTGGGGCTGTATTTATAGAGTTCCAGGTGCAATTAATGCAGGAATACAAACCACTTTGATCAGACAGCTCTGAGGGCTTCCCTCGATTAGACTGCTTTTGATGGACATTTTGAGTGCCTTGATGATGTTGAAATTGAGCGATTTTTGACTTGTTGGATTCGTCTTGCCGAGACGTTTGATTCAACTATAAACTCGAAGGATTTGACATCCATTTGACCCTCCAAATGCATCTAAAAAACTTTCAAAAGTTGTTTAATGGCTTGATCTGAGCTTGATTTGACTCAGATTGGACCAATTTTGGTATCATTGTGTCCGTTTCGTCGAGACGGTTAGTTTGACTATAAGTTTGTTGAAATCGAAGCTCTGAATAATTTTTTATTAAGATTTGAATATATCTTGCTCAAAAGATTGTCTCGAGATCCGTGTCTTGCCTCTGGGAATGTGTTGATGGCGTATCAAGGCTTGTCTAAACTCAATTCAAATTGTGTTGATGGCGTATCAAGGCTTGTCTAAACTCAATTCAAATGTTGGAATGAAACATTTCTTTCCAATTTTTGTCATAATTCTAACATGATCCATGTGAGCATATGAAGTCTTTTTGATTCCCCTAATCTCGTGCTTGGACTCAATCTATAACATTACTTGTAGTTAGAAAACTAACTCTCTTATGCTTCCCTACAATACAATGTTTTAACTTAGGCAACCCTACAATACAATGTTTTAACTTAGGCAAAGAATTGACTGATGCAACTATTAAAATTCTACTTTGCGATACATTTTATCTTAAAAATCTTCTGGTTCTCTAATAATCTAAATAGTTTTGCAAATCTTGAAGATTTTAACATCCTTAAGAAAACAATAATATGCATCACTCGAAGCACCCACCCAATGATTAAGATTCACTCTTAGATTAAGTACATATTGACCCCAATTAAAATTATAGAAAAAGTATTGTTTCCTTATAGAAGTAGTGTTTAGGCCTAAAATCCATAACTCAACGTACCCAATGACGTATTTGAACAATAACACTATTCCTCTTTGTAGGTGTTTAAACAAACATCAACTAAACAGGCGTAAAATGTAGCGGGACATAAACATCTCCTCCTTATATAATACTATCCTTGCCTGATTATACATTCAGTCTCTCACCTTTGAAGCTTCTACTGTCTAGATTATTTGTGGCGCAACTTTTAGTTAAAACTTTAAATTATATATTATTTTCTGCAACACTAATCAGCTTTTCAATTCTGTTTACCTTAATTTATTATTGTAAAACTCCTGAATGAGTTGTAATTTGCAGTTGATATAGGTGATGGATCGACGCAGTTGGCCTTGGAAGAAGAAAACATCGGATAAAGCGGCAGTTTCGACCGATACTGTCATTGCATCCTTGTTTAATGCAAATGGACATCAAACAGAGAAGGTTGCACAAAATTTAATTGGAGAAAGAAAACTTGTTATTGTGGATTGATAAAAAATTCAGTGTTCCTATTACTAGTCCCATTTGGCTTCTGTTTGTTTTCTTACCATTCAAGCTTGAATTATTTGAAAGTGATATAACTTCACTTTTCAAGTATTGCGTGTGAAAGGATAAAGTATAAGTTATACCATGTGTATTTCAATTGACATTTATTACTAGATTGTTGTTAAATTACACTTCTTGTTCAAATGTGACTGGCAGGTTTGTCTTAGCATGAATTGACGGCCATTAATCAAATATCTAATGAATAATTATGCAAATTTCATGTTTTTTCCCAACCATAACACAATATCTTCTAATGCCAACATAACTTTTAGATCAGCATCACATCGCCGTCAGGTTTTAATGATACTGGTGCTTTTTTCCATTGCTTGTTTAGTTATGTGTAGCATTGTTTTCCTCCTCCCAAAATGTAAAGAATGGATGTAGTGTGGCTTGAAAAGGTTCATGATTTTGAACATAAAAGATTCAAGGCAGAGGTTCATGGTTTTGAATATAAAAAGTTTCAAGGCAGAGACCCATTTCTGCCCTACCCGCTAAAATACTTGATTCTACTTCTTCATTTGACAAGCAAGGTAAATGGACTTTTCCTTTAAGATTTATGTTCCAAATGTCAAGAATGTCTCGGTTCCATGTCATTTTGGTGATGACCAGTTTTTTTATAACATGTATTTTCTGAATAATCAGCTGTAGTATGATCTCTACTATATTTTGAAACAGTGTGATCTCCCTTTTTTGTTCTAGTTATATAAAGTTAAATTTTTTTTTATCTGATTGGTACTTTGTGCAAACTGAACTCTTTGGATCAATATGTTCCTCTTCTAGGCTGAGGCAAAGAACGAAAAATTAATACAAATTACTTTGGAATCATACACACATCTTAGTGGATTGGAAGATCAAGTCAAGTTCTTAAATGAAAAACTGATATCCGCCCAATTAGAGATGTCTGGAAAGGATGATCTAGTAAAGCAGCATGCTAAAGTTGCAGAAGAAGCAGTATCAGGTATTTTAAGTCTCCTTACAAAATTAATTTCGATGTCATAGTTCATGCATGCTATCTAGGGATACTCATAAAAAAAACTTATTATGTCTTCCTCCGCAATTTGTGAAATTTATATTTTGAGTAAAGGCAGAAATCTCATTTTGTTTCTTGACGTGGTAACCAAATGCTGAGAAATTTTCATATTATTTCATTCTTGTATTAGGATGGGAGAAGGCTGAAAATGAAGCTTTAGTTCTGAAACAGGAGCTTGAATCTGTCACATTGCTTAAGATTACTGCTGAAGAAAGAGCACTCCATCTTGATGGCGCTCTAAAGGAGTGCATGAAACAAATACGAAATGTGAAGGAAGAAAGTGAACAGAAGTTACATGAGGTGGTCTTGACGAAGACTAAACAGTGGGAAAACGTCAAGGCCGAGTTTGATGTGAAAATCAATGATTTTGAACAAAAACTACAAAAAGCATTAGCTGAAAATTCTGCACTCTCAAGATCACTTCAAGAACGGTCTAGTTTGCTGATGCACGTTAGTGAAGAAAAATCTCAAGCAGAGGCTCAAATTGAAGTACTAAATAATGATATACATTCTTGTGAAAGGGAAATAAATTCAATGAAGTACGAACTTCATGTCATCTCCAAAGAGCTGGAGATTCGCAACGAAGAAAAGAACATGAGTATGAGATCCGTCGAAGTTGCAACCAAGCAACACTTGGAGGATGTCAAAAAGATTACTAAGCTAGAAGCTGAATGTCAAAGGTTACGTGGTCTTGTCCGAAAGAAGCTACCAGGACCTGCTGCAGTAGCTCAAATGAAACTAGAAGTTGAAAATTTAGGCAGAGAATATGGAGAAAACAAGTTGCGGAGGTCTCCTGCAAAGCATTCTAGTTCTTACTCACCAGAGTTTGCTTCGGAAAATGTTCAGCAAACGAGTTCCTCACTGCGAGATTGTTGGCAATGGAGGAAGAAATGAAGATGCTCAAGGAAGCATTATCAAAGCGCAACAATGAGCTGCAGGCATCAAGAAATATGTACGCTAAACAAGCAAATAGGCTCCGCAGCATTGAAACACAGATGTTGGTTCTAAATCAACACAAAGCAACTTCCAAACCTCATATTGATTTCCATTTTGAAAATGAAAGCAACCCAGCTAGCTTGACCTCCATATCTGAAGATGGTTTTGATGAAGAAGGGAGTTATTCTGGGTCTTTGTCTGCTGCATTAATCTCAGAGCTCTCACACTTGAAGAAAGAGAAAAACATTGACAGGGTTCACACGGACGAGAGCTCAAGTCATTTGGAACTTATGGATGACTTTTTGGAGATGGAGAGATTAGCATGCTTATCAACAAAGAGCAATGTTGATATCAAGACGGCTAATGGTTTTAAAACTAAAAAAGTGGGCTCCACCTCTTTGGTTTATTCAGAAAATCAAGGGGATTTTAACGAACAGAAATGTGCAGATCCTGAAATATCACTGAATTTTCTCACAGAGAATGCTGCAAATGAAATCGAGCTTCCGCACTTGAAACTTAAAACAAGAATATCTTGCATATTTGAGTCTCAGACCCATGATGCTAATATGAAAAATATTATAGACGATATTTTACAAATTATTCAGGATGCACAACTCGAGTTGATCAATGAAGTGAATGAATCCACAGGTTACTTGGCTGAGCAAAACTATTGTCATAATAATATTCAGAAAATTACAGATTATGGAATATCTTCGAACGAAGTTGTCACTTCATGCACTAAAGTTAATTGCGTTCTTGACCAACAATTGAAGGATGCCATTTCCCATATCCATGAATTTGTTCTGTCTTCGGGCAAATATACTGCAGAAATGCAAAATAGTGCTAATGAATTTGTAGGTATAGGCAAAAAAATTGATGAGTTTTCTGCCTCTGTAGACAGGATAATGTGTGGAGAAGTAAGTTTGTATGATTTCATTCTGGCTTTATCCCATGTACTATGTGAAACCAATGACCTTGGGTATAGAATGAAGACAGTGAAGGCAAATGAAGGGGAGAGCAATAATTCAGATTGCATAGACAAAGAAACTTTATTAGAGAATAATGTGGCTCAGCATGGTGCAATGAAAGAGAATCTGTCTTTATCTTCTTCATTGGTTCCTCATTCTTCCCTCAATTCAGAATTGGAAGGATCCATGGGTGTTGGATTCGAGATGAAGACCACAGTACCGGCACTCCCTCAGGTTAACTTTGAGCACCTGAAACTGGAGAAAGAGAAAATGGAGATTGATTTTGCTGATTGCAAAGAAATGCTAAACCAAACAAATTTTACTTTGATAGAAACTGAGAAACAACTAACAGAGCTTAAATCAGAGTTAGCTTCTTGTCAGAAGTCGAACAGCTTGCTTGAGACTCAGTTGAAGTGTATGGTTGAGTCTTATAAGGTTTTGGAATCTCAAAAGGATGAACTAGAGGCTGAGTTTGTCCGTCTGCATGCAAAAGCTGAAACTTTGAATAATGAGCTACAGGAGGAAAAACATTGTCGCCAAGAAGATATTGCTAAATACAATGAACTTAAAGAGCAAGTGGAACGGTAAAATTGATTTTTTAGTATGCATTATTTATTCATTTTCTGTAATTAATATAGTGATAAACTCCTCTTTCTGGTGCTATTCAATGCATGTGTTGAAGTTTTTTAATTTCTTTTGTTTTCCTCTGACTGAATTTTCTTTTTATATTTGTATGAAGGAACTCGAAGTGGTCAACTAGCCCACTGTATTCTAGTGTTGATAATTCAAAAACCCAACAGGTAAAAACAAGAAATTTCTCCTTGATGGTTCTGAGATATAGATAGAATGAATTCTCGTTTGTGTATTTTTATAAACATAAATTTTGAAGCTTGTACTAACAAACTCTTCATGGTTTCACCATCATCATGGTCTTACATAGTTACCTTTCAGCGATATTGGGTTTACTTGACGCTCTTTTGAAAATGCCTCATTTAGCAAGGAATATACATTATTGCTTATAATGAGCAAAGCTTCCAGGTTCAATATTAGGTTAATGATTCAATCATTTATTCAATTAGGTTTATGGATGATTAACAGTAAAAATAGATTAAGTTTATAATATGTAAAATTTAATGTGTTACACGCACTTACACTGTTACACAACTCTTAAAACAAAAGAGAAACTGAACGCTAAGCAACGTCAATAGAACTTGTAACAATAAGAGTTTAGTGAAAAGGGAAATTCAAACATTTAGTAATAAGTATTTGACTAATTTAACCTTTTTATTTTTTGAATTTTTACAAGGAAATGTGAGTTAACTTGTTTGCAAAAAAATACCTTTAGAGTCGGCCGACAAATGATTGATTCGATGTGTTGGCATTTCATTAATTTCACTTTTTGTCCTTGGATTATGACTTACTGGTTTACTGTGGTTATGTAGATCTAGTTTATTGTCATAGATTTTATGTTATTGCTTAAGTGATATTTATCCGGGTTCGACTATTGAGCTTTTGTATGGACAAGCTAGTTATCAGAATAAGATGGATGCTAACATCATATTTTATAAACAAGACTTGGAGGTTCAATATTGGCTAAATGGTTTGCTAAATTTGAGACCTGAATTGTGTGGGTTCTGCTTATCGTCTTATAAGGAAGTTGTGAGCACGTGGATTGAGGCTTTAGAAGGCATCATGAGCGCACTGATAGAAAGCTTCGCTGTCTGATCAATCTTACATTAGCTTTTAGATTGCAAACCATGTGTGATTGCTTTGTTGATACTTTTGAAATATTTTTTTAAAGGGGTCTTGCTAAAGACTATAAATACTCCCTTTTGTTTTGTACAACACATTCACTATTCTTTGCTTTTGTTTTATGTTGGTCATAACTCTCCACTTGTAATTTCAGATTAGATATGGTGAATTCTCTTTCTTTACCCGAAATTTTTCCTATCTTGATTTTTCCACATAAAATTTGTATGTTCTTTCTTTTGCTTATTTCATTAATTGTTTGTTTCATCGATTCAATATTTAGTTATAACAAGTGGTATCAGAGATAAATTTTCATCTTGACGATGATAATACACGTTATTGTCTCTTTAGATCGCAACACCATATTTTTGTTTTGACAGGTTAAGAGGAGAGGTGTCTTAGCGTAGATGAATCTAGACAATGCGCTACTAGGGTTTGAAAGAATATCCTTGCGATAAGCTACATATCTATGTGTGCACACGTGTGTGTGTGTGTGTGTGTGTAAAATAAATTAATTAAAAGAATGCTTCATTCGAATGAGATGCATCACTCATGAAAATAAAAAAAAAGGGGGAAAATAATTTAAAGAATGTGTCGTTCAAATGAGACTCGTCTATCACGGACTAACTTATCTCAAGTCACCCGTGCACTTTTAATGTTCATCATTGGCACTAAATTAATCTATCCCTCACAACGCTATGACTCATAAGCACACAACACTCTTGGAAAAAGAATGGGGAGAAGTATTGGAGAAAGAAAACACTTCACTAAGAAAGAATGATTACAACACTTGAATATTTGGCACCTTAGATGATCACATATGAAGGGAGGAACTCCTATTTATTTTCCCCTCTAAGTCTAAAGGAATATTCTAGAGTGTTCTCCACTATTCATATATACATATATAACCCTAGAGCTTTCTAGGTTATTCTTGAGTTATCATTGGAGCCTTTCCTTCTCATGTTCTTTAGAATTGGGCGGAATCTTCTAGAATCCCTTGAATTGTTCTCTATAATCTGGTCTTCTCTGGAATCTTCTATCCCGTGCTTGCCTCGTCAATTTGACGGAGCGTGACACTCTCCCCACTTAAACTTGCAATGTCTTCATTGCGACTTCCCCTTGACTCTCAGACCAGCTTCCTTTGTTTGCTCACAGACTTGACAAACTTGGGTTTTTCCTTGGTGCTATGGGAAAGGGGTGCCATGCAGGGAGACTCCATGGTTGGTAACTCGGTTCTTGGCTCCAGCCTAATCAAATGAGTCTTCTTCCTCCTTAGTGGTTGTTTGTTTGGTAATTCTTTAAAAACCTTCACCATTTTCCTTGGTATGCTTTCTTGGGGTTGCGCCTCTTTATCGGGGTCGTGAAGAACATCCAAGTAACTCTCCTTGTCTTTTGGAATGCCCTTTTTGAATGGCATGACCGATAGCATTTTGAGTTCCTATCTGTTAGTCCTTGTTATTGGTACTAAGCAAGTTTGATTCCCTTCCGTAATGCATATCTATTGGCGAAGGATATAGGGAATGCTCTTGTTTGATCCTAGAAGTTCATCCCTAAAACAACTTTAAAATTATCTGTTAGAGTGACTTAGAAATTTAAGGTACCTGCCCACGCTCCAATGCTGATTTTTACTCTTCTGACTATTCCATGGATTGACTTTACTGTTGAATTAACTATCTTGATGGAGCCTCCTCCTTCAGTCATTCACAAACCCAACATATTTGCTTTTTCGGCGGAGATGAAGTTTTGGGAAGCACCCGTGTCCACCATTGCTTTAATGGTCTTCCCATCTATAACCATCTCCACAAAGAGTAACTCCTTTGTTTGGGATTTTATTGGAGCTTGCATCCCATTCAACAGTTGTATAGCCCCTACTTGTGCCACCGTATCACCTTCTTCCTCCTGATGACTTGCAAGGAGAGGGTTCAGAGCCTTTTTCTGAGGGCAATCTCTTACCCAATGTGGTCCATCACAAAGGAAGCACTGGTTGTGTGGTTTAGCTTTGTTATTTTTAGACTTCCATTTGTCTTTTGCTTTAGATGCGAGTCTTTTCCTTATATTGATCCTTGTCTTCTCCCTTTTTTACATAAGTACTTTTCTTATTATTTGGTTTTGTGGACTCACTTGAGTAATTAAGTAGGCTTTCGGTGACTGCGGTGGCCGTGAAAAGATCTTGCACTCCACCTCTTAATTTCAGTCTTTGCCTACTGTTGGAGTTCATCCATGAAATTGAAAAGAACATCATTGTCTGATATATCGGGAATTTCAAGGACCAAGCTTGTGAACTCCCTAATGTATTCCCGAATCGATCTCTCTTGTTTGATCCTTCGCAATCGGGCTCTAGCCTCATCCTCCGCATTCTCTGGGTGGAATTGTCTCTTTAGCTCCCTTTTGAAGTCATAAAGGTGGATATGATGCACATATCTTTTTGGGTATTTCCACGTCTTCTTCTCCACCACAACATAGCGATGTTTGAGAGATGAAGGGTTGCAAATTGAATTCTTGCATCTTGATTTGTGATCCCCATCGCTCCAAAGTATTGTGTAAGTCCACATAAGAAATTGTCCACTTTTTTCGCGTTGCAAGCTCTTTCAAAACTCATTGGTTTTGACACTTCAATGCGCTTAGTTTCGAAGGTATGATGTTTAGTGGATGTCGCTAGTGCTCTCTTGCATAGCGAAATGTCTCCACGTATCTCCTCCAAGCTAGCACACCCACCGTTCATCTCGTCTTCATGGACTCTTCGTACCTCCTGGAGCTCCGTCATCAAATCCTCTCCCATCTTAACCATTTGGTCCCTTAAAGACTCCTCCATTTGGAGCGTCATATCTCTGATCGTTGAATTGATTGTGATGTACTCCTTCTTGAGCCCATCAACCTTTATGTCAAGATCCTTTATCCATGCCTCGATGCCATTCATTGTCTTCTTCATCCGAGCAAGGTGCGATTCAAAGCCGTGTATGATCTTCTTGGACCTCCCATGTAGTTTGGATGCAGCTGGATCTCATTGCTCCTAATGACCTCGCCCTTGTTGAGATGATTTCACATTAGTGGCTTCAGACTTCATTACATGCTCTCTAACGCTTTTTGTCATACCTTCAAAGCCGAGGCTCTGATACCAACTATCACGGATGAACTTATCTCAAGTTACCCGTACAACTTTAGCGCTCCTCCTCAGAACTAAATCAATTTATCCCTCACAATGCTGGGACTTGTAAGCACACAACACTTGGAAGAAGAATATGGAGAAGTATTAAAGAAAGAGAACACTTCACTAAGAAAGAGTGATTACAACACTTGAATGCTTGGAACCTTGGGTGATCACAAATGAGGGGAGAAACTTTTTTTTATAGTTCCCTCCAAGTCTAAGGGAATATTCGAGAATAGCTAGTTTCTAGAGTGTTCTCCACTATTTATATATACATATATAGCCCTAGAACTTTCTATGTTATTCTTGAGTTCTCCTTGGAGTTTTTCCTTCTCATATTATATAGAATTGGGCAAAATTTTCAAAATTCCTTTGAATTGTTCTCTACAATATGATCTTCTCTGAAATCTTTCATCATGCTTGCCTTGCTAATTTGGCGAAGCATGACAGGTCGCTCATGAAAATCAAAACGATGAATACCTTCCTTCCTTTCATTCTACCGATCGCACGAAGCGGGATTAAGAGAATAGGAACGGGAGGGTTTAGGGTTCAGTACTTGGAGAAGGAGGAAGCCATTGATTCGAGTGAAGAAGGAAGAAGGAATATCCCTTTGCCAAACCAAACAACTTCAACTGCAACGCAGGAAGGAAGCATCGTTTGACTCTTAGTCTCGTGGTGTGGATGGAAGACGAACTCCCACGAATCGTACTGGGTCGAATCGATATCGAAGAAAGAAGGGTTTCCTGTGCGGGTGCTTGTGTGGGTAATTGACACTGTAGGAACCGAAGGAGGAGAAGCTGAAGGAGGTGAGGTTTCGTGCGAGAATGAACTAAACCGTAGGGAGAGGAGTGATGCCCTAGCCAATCAAATAAAAAAAAAGTGGAGAGGAGGGTGCTCTCGTGCGTG